TAGAGACAGAAAGTATATTAGTGGGTGGCTAAGACTGGGGAGAAGACTAACAGGAAGTGACTGCTAATGAGTATGAGGCTTCTTTGGTGGGGGAGGGGGACAAAAATGTTCTAAAATTGATCATGTTTGGGAGGCCGAGGCGGGTGGAACACTTGAGGTCAGTAGTTTGAGACCAGACTGGTCAACATGGCAAAATCCTGCCTCTACTAAAAATACAAAAATTAGCTATGTGTGGTGGTGCCCGCCTGTAATCCCAGCTACTTGGGAGGCTGAGGCAGGAGAATCACTTGAACCGGGAGGCAGAAGTTGCAGTGAGTCAAGATTGCACCACTGCACTCCAGCCTGGGTCACAGAGTGAGACTCTGTCTCAAAAAATAAAAATAAATAAATAAAGCTACTAAACAGTATACTTTATTTATAACAGTATTTATTATTATTTTTAACAGTACCCTTTAAAAGGGTGAATTTTACTCAGGAGGTTGAGGCCAGAGGATCACTTGAGCCCAGGAGTTTAAGTCCAGCCTGGGCAATATAGTAAGACCCTGTCTCAAAAATAAATAAATAAAAGGTGAATTGAATGATATGTGACATATATCTCAATGAAGTTGCAACGAAAAGATGGAAGAAGTAACAGAATGTCTATGTGCTAATGAGAATGATCTTGCAGAGAGGGGAAAACTGGTGGAACCATGTCCTCAAGTAGGTCAGAGACAATGGGATCAAGTGACAAAGGAGAGACAGACTAGATTTTGATGACAGTAGGAGCAGCTTATCTAGAAAAGAGACGAAGGCAGAGTATACGTGTACAGATGCTATGTGGTGGTTGGATGTCATGGTGGGAATTGGTAGATGTTTTATTCCAATGGTTTTCGTTTTTTTCAGTCAAGTAAGAAGCCTGAGTATAAGGATGGGAGAGGAAATGTTGAAGATTTCAGGAGTGAAGGTATGAAACAATCTAGCAGGGCAGGAGAGGAAATGAAATGGAGCAAACAGAGAGCTGGATTTAGCCAAGACTGAGGCTATGCCCTGTAAAGTGGATGGTAAGTACACTGAAGTGACAGAGGGCAAAGGGAAGTGAGACTGTCTGTCCAGGAATGACTGTAACAGTGGGCCGTGGAATCTAAGCTGATTAAAGGAGGAACATGGGAGCATGGGGGAAGTGAAGGAAGTGAAAACGTTCAGTCCCACTGGGGTTGAAGGACTGCTGGAGCTGGAGTACTAGCTGAGGTGGGCTAGAAAAATAGGAGGTACTGGCTAGAGAGCAGGATGCCTGAAACTAAGAATACGGAAATAATGCAGTCACAGGTACTGATAAGATCAAAGGTCAGGCCCAATGTGGTGGCTCACGCCTGTAATCCCAGCACTTTGGGAGGCTGAGTAGGGTGATCACTTGAGGTGAGGAGTTCGAGACAAGCCTGGCCAACATGGTGAAATGCCGTCTCTACAAAAATACAAAAATTAGCTGGGTGTGGTGGCAGGCACCTGTAGCTACTCTGGAGGTTGAGGCAGGAAAATCACTTGAACCCAGAAGGCAGAGGCTGCAGTGAGCTGAGCTCGTACCACTGCACTCCAGCCTGGGTGACAGAGTGAGACTCTGTCTCAAAAAAAAAAAAAAGAGTCAGACTATTGGAGTAGGTAGCTGAGGTGGGAATGAAAGGCAAGATCATTGTGGGGTAGCAAATCACAGAACTGATAGATAAAAATACTGGAAGGATCATCTATAAAGATATTAAAATCACCAAGAATTAGGACTGGACCAGTGTTAAAAAGAATGACAGTGAGATCATAGCTAATGTAGTAATGGTAGTGACAGAGGCAGATATGTGTGTATGTCTGTATATGATGATACAGAGTGGTAGTTGATGGTATATTCTGATGATTTGAGATTTACAACAGGGTGGTTGATATTTATATAATCTCAAAGTATTAAATCATTTATTAATCATGAAGGAAAAAAGAGGAACTACAGTGGAAAAAAAGGAACTGACAGACACCACCTTAAACAAGGACTCAAAGTGAACAAAACCAGTATCAGGACAAAATGACATCACATGCCTCCCGATAGGAAGCACTGAAAACATAACTTCTCTTCTGCGGTATTCTCACCAAAATTACATAACTTGAATATAAGCACAGTGTAACTTGAGACAAATCCAAATTCTATGAAATAACTGTCCAGGACTCTTCTAAATGGTCAAAATCATAAAAGACAAAGAAAGACTAAAGAACTGTTCCATACTGTTAAAGCCTAAGGAAGCATGATGACTAAATTTAATGTGGGAGCCTGAAAGGAATCCTTGAAAAGAAAAGTGGCACTAGTGGAAAAACTGATGTAATCTAAATAAACCCTGCAGTTTCATTAAGAGTACAGGCAGTAGCTCATTTATTGTGTTGCACTTTATTGCACTTCACAGATACTATGTCTTTCACTAATTGAAGGATCATGGCAATGTTACATTGAGCAAATCTATTCGTACCATTTTTCCAACAGCATGTATTCACTTAGTGTCTCTGTCTTACATTTTGGTAATTTTCACATTTCAAACCTTTTCTTATATCTGTTATGGTGATCTGTGATCAGTGCTTTTTTTTTTGAGACAGGGTTTCAAGACTGTTGCCCAGGCTGGAGTACAGTCGTGTGATCCCAGCTCACTGCAGCCTTTGCCGCCTGGGCTCAAGCGATTCTCCTGCCTCAGCCTCCCCGAGTAGCTGGGACTAGAGGCACATGTCACGACGCCCAGCTTAATTTTTGTATTTTTTGCAGAGACAGAGTTTCACCATCTTTCCCATGCTGGTCTTGAACTACTGAGTTCAAGCAATCCGCCCACCTCAGCCTCCCAAAGTGCTAGGATTATAGGCGTGAGCTACTCACCCTGCCTAGATCAGTGATCTTTCGTTTAACTATTGTAATTGTTTTAGGGTACCATGAACCGAACCCATATAAGATGGCAAACCAGGCTGGACGCGGTGGCTCACGCCTGTAATCCCAGCACTTTGGGAGGCCAAGGTGGACGGATCACAAGGTCAAGAGATTGAGACCATTCTGGCTAACATGGTGAAACCCTGTCTCTACTAAGAATACAAAAAATTAGCTGGGCATGGTGGTGCATGCCTGTAATTCCAGCTACTCGGGAGGCTAAGGCAGGAGAATTGCTTGAACTCGGGAGGCAGAGGTTACAGTGAGCCGAGATGGCGCCACTGCACTCCAGCCTGATGACAGAGCGAGACCCTGTCTCAAAAAAAACAAAACAACAAACAAACAGAAAAACAAAACAAAAAAAACAAGATGACAAACTGAACTGACAAATATGTATGTTCTGACTACTCTACTGACGGGCTATTCCTCCGTCTCTCTCCCTCTCCTCAGGCCTCCCTATTCTGAGACACAACGATATTGAAATTAGGCCAATTAATAACCCCACAATGGCTTCTAAGTATTTGAGTGAAAGGAAAAGTCTCAACGTCTCTTATTTTTTATTTTTATTTTTTAGAGATGGGGTCTTGCCATCTTGCCCAGGCTGGTCTAGAACTCCTGGGCTCAGACAATCCTCCCGCTTCAGCCTCCCAAACGGCCAGGATTATAGGCATGAGCCATTGCACCCGGCCTTCAACATCTCTCACTTTAAATCAAAGGCTGGAAATGATTAAGCTTTGTGAGGAAGGCATGTTGAAAGCCTAGAGAGGCCAAAAGCTAGGCTTCTCACGCTGAACAGTTAGCCAAGTTGTCAATACAAAGGAAAAGTTTTTGAAGGAAATTAAAAGTGCTATTCCAGTGAACACATGAGTGATAAGAGTAAAACAGTGTTATTGTGGATATAGAGAAAGTTTTGGTGGTCTGGCTAGACAATCGAACCAGCCACAAGATTTCCTTAAGCCAAAGCTTAATTCAGAGCAAGGCCCTAACTCTCTTCAATTCTAATGAAGGCTGAGAAAGGTGAGGAAGCTGCAGAAGAAAAGTTGAAAGCCAGCAAAAGTTGGTTCATGAGGTTTAAGGAAAGACGCCATCTCCATAACATAAAAGAGCAAGGTGAAGCAACAAGTGCTGATGTAGAAGCTGCAGGAAGTTATGTAGAAAAATCTAGCCAAGACAGTTGATGAACCACAGATTTTATTTTTACTATTATTATTTTTTTAAGACAGAGTTTCACTCTTGTTGCCCAGGCTAGAGTGCAGTGGTGCGATCTCGGCTCACTGCAACCTCCGCCTTCCAGTTTCAAGTGATTCTCCTGCCTCAGCCTCCTGAGTAGCTGGGATTACAGGCACCTGCCACCATGACTGGCTAATTTTTGTATTTTTAGTAAAGATAGGGTTTCATCATGTTGGCCAGGCTGGTCTCAAACTCCAGACTTCGTGATCCTCCCGCCTCAGCCTCCTAAAGTGCTGGGATTACAGGCGTGAGCCACTGCACCCGGCCAACAGATTTTCAATGTAGATGAAACAGCCTTATGTTGGGAGAAGATGCCATCTAGGACTTTCATACCTAGAGAGAAGTCAATGCCTGGCTTCAAAGTTTCAAAGGACAGGATGACTCTCTTATTAGAGGCTCATGCAGCTGGTGACTTTTAACTTGATGCCAGTGTTCATTTACCATTCTGAAAATCCTAGGGCCCTTAAAAAAATGTACTCTGTCTGTGCTCTATAAATGGAAAAACAAAGCCGGGACGACAGCAAATCTGTTTATAGCATAGTTTACTAAACACTTTAAGCCCACTGCTGAGACCTTGGTACTCAGATAAAAAGATTCCATTCAAAATATTACTGCTCATTGACAATGTACCTGAACACCTAAGAGCTCTGATGGAAATGTACAAGGAGATTCATGCTGTTTTCATGCCTGCTAACACAACATCCATTCTGCAGCCCATGTATCAAGGAGTAATACTGACTTTCAGGTCTTATTATTTAGAAAATACATTTCGTAAGGCTATAGCTGCCAAAGACAGTGATTCCTTTGATGGATCTGGGAAAAGTAAATTGAAAATATTCTGGAAAGGACTCACCATTCTAGATGTCATTAAGAACATTTGTGATGCATGAGAGGAGGTCAAAACATCAACATTAACAGGAGTGTAGAAGAAGTTAACTCCAACCCTCAGGGATGACTTTCAGGGGTTCAAGACTTCAACAGAGGAAGTAACTGCAGAGATGGTGGAAACAACAAGAGAATCAGAATTAGAAGTGGAGTGTGAAGAAGTGACTGAACTGCTGCCATCTCACGACAAAATTTTTTTTTTTCTTTTTTTTTTTTTTTTTTTTTTTTTTTTTTGAGTATCGCCCAGGCTGGAATACAGTGGTGCGGTCTCAACTCACTGCAACTTCCACCTCCTGGGTTCAAGAGATTCTCCTGCCTCAGCCTCCTGAACAGCTGGGACTACAGGTGCCCACCACCACACCTGGCTAATTTTTTTGTGTATTTAGTAGAGACGGGGTTTCACCATGTTGGCCAGGCGGGCCGTGAACTCCTGATCTCAGCGATCTACCCGCCTCGGCCTCCCAAAGTGCTGAGATTACAGGTGTGAGCCACTGTGCCTGGCCCATGATAAAACTTTAATAGAGCCTGGGTAACAAAGTGAGACCCTGTCTCCACAAAAAATTTTAAAAAAATTCCTGGGCATGATGGCGCATACCTGTGGTCCCAGCTACTCCAGAGGCTGAGGCAGGAAGATTGCTTGAGGCCAGGAGTAAGAGACTAGCCTGGACAACATAACAGGATTCCACCTCTGCAAAATTTTAAAAATTGGCTGGGCATGGTGGCACGCACCCATAGTTCCAGCTACTTGGGAGGCCGAGGCAGGAGGATTGCTTGAGCCTGGGAGAGCTAGAGTGAGCCATGACTGCGCCACTACACTCTAGCCTGGGTGGTAGAGGTGAGATCCTGTCTCAGAAAAGAAGTTAGTAGATGAGGAATTGCTTCTTATGGGTGAGCAAAACAGTGGTTTCCTGGGATGGAATCTACTCCTGGTGAAGATGCTGGGAATACTGTGAAAATGACAAAAAAGGATTTAGAGTATTACATAATCCTAAAAAAGCAGTAGCAGGGTTTGAGAGGACTGACTCCAGTTTTGAAAGAAGTTCTACTGTGGATAAAATGGTATTAAACAGCATCATATGCTACAGAGAAACCTTCTGTGAAAGCAAGAGTCAATGCAACAAACTTTATTAATGTCTTATTTTAAGAATTTGCAGGCCGGGCGCGGTGGCTCAAGCCTGTAATCCCAGCACTTTGGGAGGCCGAGGCGGGTGGATCACGAGGTCAAGAGATCGAGACCATCCTGGTCAACATGGTGAAACCCCATCTCTACTAAAAATACAAAAAACATTAGCTGGGCATGGTGGCGCGTGCCTGTAATCCCAGCTATTGAGGAGGTTGAGGCAGGAGAATTGCCTGAACCCAGGAGGCGGAGGTTGCGGTGAGCCGAGATCGCGCCATTGCACTCCAGCCTGGGTAACAAGAGCGAAACTCCGTCTCAAAAAAAAAAAAAAAAAAAAAAAAAAAAAGAATTTGCCATAGCCACCCTAACCAGCAACCACCACCTTGATCAGTTAGCAGCCATCAACATTGTGGTAAGACCCTTCACCAGCAAAAAATTACAACTTGCTGAAGGCTCAGATGATCATTAGTATTTTTTTAGGAATATAGTATTTTAAAATTAAGGTATATACTTTTTTGATACAATGCTATTATACACTTAATATAGTACAATGTAAACATAACTTTTATATGCACTAAGAAACCAAAAAATTCATCTGACTTGCTTTATTGTGTTGGTCTGGAACTGAACCTGTGATATGCCTGTATGTACCAATGTTAATTTTGTAGTTAAACTGTAATTATATAATTTCTTCTTTTTTTTTTTTTTTTTTTTTTTGACATAGAGTCTCACTATGTCGCCCAGACTAGAGTGCAGCAGTGTGATCTCAGCTCATTGCAACCTCTTCCTCCTGGGTTCAAGCAATTCTCCTGCCTCAGCTTCCCAAGTAGCTGGGATTATAGGTGTGTGGCACTACATCCAGCTAATTTCTGTATTTTTAGTAGATATGGGGTTTCACTGTTAGCCAGGCTGGTCTTGAACTCCTGACCTCAGGTGATCCACCCCCTCGACCTCCCAAAGTGCTGGGATTACAGGTGTGAGCCACTGCACCCAGCCTGTAATTATATAATTTCTTAACATTTGGGAAATCTAAGTGACGAATATATGAGAATTCTTGTAAATTTTTGCAGCTTTTTAAAAGTCAGAAATTATTTTATGTTCAAAAATTCTTGGCCAGGCCCGGTGGCTCACACCTGTAATCCCAGCAATCTGGGAAAGTGAGGCAGGTGGATCACTCGAGGTTAGGCATTCAAGACCAGCCTGGCCAACATGGTGAGACCCCGTCTCTACTAAAAATACAAAAATTAGCTGGGCATGGTGGTATGTGCCTGTAGTCCCAGCTATTCGGGAGGCTGAGGCAGGATAATCACTTGAACCTGGGGGGCAGAGGTTGCAGTGAGCCAAAATCATGCCACTGTACTCTAGCCTGGACAACAGAGTGAGACTCCATCTCAACAAAACAAAACCAAAAAACCAGTTCTTAAAAAAATGAAAAAAGGGTTGTTTGAGGAGGGAGAGTGTCTGGAAAGGGTAACTAGGAGCAAGCACACACTCTCTCACCCTCACCACCCAGTCTCCCAGTAAGAGGGGTAATGAGAGGGCTGCCGGGAGGACAGAATGTTCAGGCAAAAGCCAGACTGCTATTTAAGCAGTGGTTCTCAGTGACAGGTGGGGGCTGGACAATTAAAGGGTGTTTCGGGGGCATTTTTTCTTCCTTTTCTTTTTTTGAGATGAAGTTTCACTCTTGTTGCCCAGGCTAGAGTACAATGGCACGATCTCAGCTCACTGCAACCTGTGCTTTCCGGGTTCAAGTGATTCTCCTACCTCAGCCTCCCAAGTAGCTGGGACTATAGGCACACGCCACCAAGTCTGGCTAATTTTTGTATTATTAGTAGAGATGGGGTTTTACCATGTTGGCCAGGCTGTTCTTTAACTCTTGACCTCAGGTGATCCACCCGCCTTGGCCTCCCAAAGTGTTGGGATTACAGGTATGAGCCACAATGCCTGACCCATTTTTTTTTTTTTTTTTTTTTTTTTTAAGACAGGGTCTGGCTGTCACCCAGGCTGGACAGAAGTGGTGCGATCTCAACTCACTGCAACCTCCTCCTCCCAGGCTCAAGGAGTCCTCCCATCTCAACTGCCCAAGTAGCTGGGACCACAGGTGTGTGCCACAACACCCAGCTAATTTTTGTATTTTTTGTAGAGACAGGGTTTCACAATGTTGCCCAGGCTGGTCTCGAACTCCTGGACTCAAGCGATCTACCTGCCTTGGCCTCCTGAAGTGCTGGCATTACAGGCGTGAGCCATCACACTTGGCCCTGTTTGGGGTGCATTTTTGACTGTGACAATAACTGGAGATCAGTGACAACCCTGGCTATAGACCAGGGATGCTCAGCCCTCTGCAGTGTAAAGGATAGCTTCACACCACGAAGAATCATACCACATCCCATACAACTTTAGAGTATCTCGCCAGACAGTCATGTAGGTGAAAAACCTGTTCATTTATTCTTTTATTCATTCAACAAACATTCAATGAGAGAAAGTCTACCAGGTGTCAAGCACTATTTTAGGTATTAGGTTTATATCAGAGAACACAAAAGACAAAAATCCCTGCCCTTCTGGAGCTTACAATTGAGTGGGAGAGTCAGACAATTAACAGCAAACATACTAAGCAGTTAATGCTACACTGTGAAGGTGGTGTAGAATGCCACGGAAGAGATAGAGCAGGGGCATGATAGGAGACAGCTGCGATTTTAAACGGGATGGTCAGAGGGGCTCTCTCAGAAAGTGACAGCTGAGTAGAGGCCTGAAGGAAGTGACGGCCTGAGCCTTGTGGATATTTGAGGAAACAGCATTTCAAGTACACAAAACCCCCAAGGTGTAAGTGTCCCTAAGGTGTTCAAATAATAATAAGGAGACCAGCATGAGTGGACAGAGTGAGCAAGGAGGGAGAGTGGTGGGAGATAAGGTCAGAGAGGTTAAGAGGGTCTCATCATGGATATTAATAAATACTGATTTTTCCAGAAATTCAACAGCCATATAAATTGAGAAACTATTTCACATTGTTTTGTTTAGAACTTCGTGAAGAATGTTCATCATTTAGGAAATGATGAACATTGGTGGCTTCTGAGCCACCAATCAACACACATGTAGCTGTCACTATCATTAAGTGTAAGCCATTTCATTATGTCTTCTAGCGGAGTCATATCCCAGTCTTTAAATACACATTATGTAATATACAGTAATATTATATATTATGTGATATTATATAATAATTTTATATACCACTCTTCCTTTACTACTCCCTATATTACAAGTAGGGCATTGTATTGGTTTTCAGGGAATTATGTGTGTAGATAGATTCTATTTTCCATGCACTTCATTTTAGAATAATAAAGCATTCCAAGATATACCTTATATATATATATAAAAAAAAAAAAAAAAAGCAATGTTGGGTCCAACAGGTATGAGAATGACCAAAGAATAGCAAGAAAATAAAGGGAGTATTCAGAAGCCAGGATGAGAATGGAGGGAATTTTGCTGATAACTGAAGGTGAGTTCCTTAAGGCCTGGTCAAAGGATTTCAGGATGGAAATAGAAAATAAGATGTCCAGGGCTGTATGGAGATGTAACCAGGAGATCTGTGGGCTTCTTGTGGTGACTAACATTATATAAGGGGCCATTAAAAAGTGGTTTTTAATCTAAGTTGCTGCCCACTTTGGGTGTCTTTACCCATTTAACAGAGTAGACTGGGGAGCAAAGAGAGCTCTCTCCTAAATGAGACCAGAAGTAACCCAAAGCCAGGCTCCATTTTTCACCCACAGCACAGGTCGGAGCCCCGGGCTAAGCTCATGTCCTCGGGCCAAACTTATTGCTATGAACTATGCACCTCTAGCCTCTTTAGGGTTAAGAAAGAAGCAGGTAAAAAGAGGAAAAACAGTAACAGAAAGACAAGCATTCATAAAGATCCAATGGAGGAACGGTCAGAGGCAGAAAAGACAGAGATCAAGAGAGACAATATGCTTTTAAATCAAGATAGTCATTATTTATTGAAAATTTTCTAAGGACTGGGTGCTGGGCAAAGTAACGCACATGCATTGTCTCAGGTACAGATTATCACGTCCCCATTTGACAGATAAGGAAACTGAGGCCCAGGTGGGTGAAGGAGATGGCTCAAAGTCTCATAGCTGGTTTAAACTGGTCAGGTCAGCATCTTATGTCTACTATGTCTCAAAAAGGGAGACAGACAGAAAGAGACAGAAATGGGAGAGAATATGCAGACAGACACGAACACAAACGATCATGTGAGCGGCAGGCCCGCAAGGAATCATTTCGAAAGACACTGAGGGTGGCAGGTGGGGCCGCGGAGGACAGCAACGGGCACCGAGTGTTCTGCAGGGTACTCACTTGGTTGCCGGCTGAGAGCCGCAGGACTACTCGGCCTCTCTTTGCTACCCGCACGATCCTCCGCAACCAGTTGACCTAGGGTTTAGAGGCCGCCCAGTTAAAAGCTTGCGCAGGCCCCACCCCTCGCACGCTACGGCCGGCCTCTTCCCGCTGCTACTTCCCCCAACCGCCAGGATGGCAGGATGAGAATAAACAGAATTTTGCTGATAACCGAAGGTGAGTTCCTTAAGGCCTGGTCAAAGGAGTTCAGGATGGAAACAGAAAATAAGACGTCCAGGGCTTCTTACCTTACACCTCCGGCCATCAGCGTCGGCGCAAACGCTCCCGACGCAGCCGACGCAGCCGACGCAGGCGCCGCCGCCGCCGCCGCCGCAGCCGCCGCGCGAGCGCATTGATAAGAGGGGCTTGCAGCATTAACTGGAAGATACACTGAACGCGACCTTTCCGCGGGCTGGAGCGCGAGCGGGGGAACGGGCCTACGCCGCTACGGACGGCTCCCCGGCTCCCATTGGAGGATTGCCCTTCTGCCTTTCCTGGGATTGGCTGGGGATGGAAGCACTTTATTTTTGTCCCCGAGGCTTAGATCCAAACTGAGGAAAACTCTGCCCCTTCGGGGGACTTTGGTTGGTTTAAGAGCCAAGCCCACCCTTTAACAGGATTGGCCAGGAAAGGAGTTCTTGTCTTTGGCCGTTTCCGGTCTATTTGACAGGGTTGGTGGGGGGCTAGTTGGGAATACGCAGGGCGAGTCACCGAACAATCGAGATGCTTGGCTTCTTTGACGTGTTACTCTCCATAAGCCACCTTGCAATGCCTCCGCTCTGCTAAGAGACGCGATTAGCACCCAGTTTCCTATGGCTCCACACCCACCTGCAGGGATCCCTAAGCCAGTTTTCTCGCTCAAAATGAGCAGAGTTCCTAATTCCACATGCATGGAGGATGAAGTGGTTATAGGGATGTGGCGCGTCACCCACCGGTCCCTGATACTAAGACATTGGTCAAGTGACAACCTTGCTAGGCGCCTCAGTTTAACCATCTGGAAATGGAAAGGTGTTTTGAAATTTTCCTCAGAGTGTGTGAGGATAAAATGAGAGGGCATATGTAAATCAGTTGCCTGGGGGATAAATAATTAAGTTCTCTCCTCCCAGTTCTTTCCCAGTGCTCAGGCGGACAAAACTTTCGACCCAGAGAGGCAAACTAACTTATTTGAAGTCACACAGCAGGCCCCACCCCTCACGCGCTCTGGCCCTGTCTCTTCCCATTGTCACTCCCCCCTCAACGACCAGTCTTTAAGGCGTCTCACCATACACCGCCAGCAGTCGGCGCAATAAGACCCAGAATAAAACCCAGGCCTTTCGTCTTCCAAAGGAAAGCTGTTTAGGAAGGAAGCAGAGAAGGGAAGGACCCTCCGATTTGCAAGTTCTTAACTTGGATTCTACAGACCTCTAATCGAGTCTGGGGACAGGGTTTGGAGAGGTCCTTGAATTTGAATGGGAACAAATTTACATCTTTATTTTCCCTCTCCTCTAACGGAAATTTAGCATTTTTTCAATAAAGAATGTAACTAGCCATAGTAGCAGTAGTAGTAACAGTACTGATTGTCACTGATAGAAATCAGAGATTTTCATATCACATTATAGATGTTGCAGATCTCTTGAAAATCATAATCTCTATTATTTAAAAATGAGAGTCATTAGACCCTCCATGAAATCTTATGATTTAATGGATGAATGGGGAGTACATATACAACTATACTATAGTACATATTTGCTTTTTCCATATTTTAATAACTATATTTCAATATAACCAATTTCTTTTGTAATCTAGATATTTTATTCTATGAATTTAAACGATTTTTTTTTTCTGTGAAAAGGTCCAGCTGGGCGCAGTGGCTCACGCCTGTAATCCCAGCACTTTGGGAGATGGAGGTGGGCAAATCACCTGAGGTCGGGAGTTCCAGACCAGCCGGGCCAACATGGTGAAACCCTGTCTCTACTAAAAATGCAAAAATTAGCCTGGTGTGGTGGCAGGTGCCTGTAATCCCAGTTACTTGGGAGGCTGAGGCAGGAGAATCACTTGAACCCAGGAGGTGGAGGTTGCAGTGAGCCAAGACCGCCCCATTGCACTCCAGCCTGGATGACAAGAGCAAGACTCCATGGAAAGAAAGAAAGAAAAAGAAAGAAAGGCAGGAAGGAAGGAAGGAAGGAAGAAAAGGTCCATAGGCTTCACTAGATCACCAAAGGGGTCCATGGCACAAAAAATATTAATATTTGTCTTGAACCCTAGGCTCCAGGAGGACAAAGACTTGCCCTATCTTGTTTCGTTGCTGTATCCCTTTCACCCAGTTCAGTAGTTCAGGCACACAGTAGGTACTTATAAGTGTTTACTGAATGAATAATAGGATTCCTTCCCAAACATTCTGCACACCCCCAATTGGGGGAGCCAGTGCTGGCCCTTTGGATCACCTAAGAGGGAAGGACATTCTTGAATCTGGTTTTGTCCCTGCCAATCTGATTCTGCTCACAGAAGTAGATGGCAATTTAAAGGTCTGGTCTCGGGAAATCCCAGGAACCTCCCACCCAGGAGCAGGGCCCTCTGCTGCAAAGGAGTGAGGGTAAGCTAGGAAGAATATGAAGACAAGTAGTTTCAACATGGGAATAGGCCCTAGGGCACATTTGGCCCATGACTCTTTATCCTCCTGGTTTCTGTTTAAGGTCTTAGCCAGTAGGTCTTGTTTTCTCTGGCCTTCAGCGAAGACAAAATCTTGGAGCTAGATGTGACCTTAAAGACCTAGAACAGCCCTCCCTTTCAGAGGTCCAGACTGAAGAGTGAGGGCACAGGGAACAAGATATTACTCTGGGCAAAGAACATCCTGTCCTCCCATGCCTCAGCCAAGGACATGAGCACCCTGGCCAACTATATTAGACTCCTACAATTGACTCTTAAGAGCATCCCTGAAGAAGAAGACCAGAGGCCCTCTCTAACAGGGTGGGTGAAGAAGAGTCTCAAATGCTAGGATGAGGGGCTGGGGATTTAATTGGGGAGACAGGAACCAGGGAAGAGCACAATGAAAGCCAGACTTCAGAGACCCACTTCGAGGCTAGACTCTGTCTTGAGAATTTAGGCAGGTTGCTTCTCCTGGACTGATCCCTTAGCATGATAAGCCTCAGTTTATAGAGGGAAAACTGAGGCCCTCTAGAGAGGACAAGAAGAGTCATGTTGTGAGGTAGGGCCAACTGAGGCAAGAGTAACCAGGCTGGCTACTCTGGCTCTGATTGGCTAGGATCCTTTGGCAGGCTGACCTCTTCCTGGCCTACTCCAATGTCTTTGCCCCTGTTGCTTTCCCCTCCCCTCCTCTTCACCGCATACTCATTGGGGTTGGCTCCAGATATTGCATGCAGAAGTCTCTTTTCTCTACACAAGATGCCTTGACTTAGGATCCTGCACTTTCAGCTCTGGCCTTGAGGTATTGCATTACTTTGCGCAAGACATTCCCCTTTCTGAGCCTTAGTCCTCCCTACCCACCTCTGACAGCGCATCAAAACCTCCATCCTGTCCCCAAAACATTTATCAGAATCATGGAGAGATGTGTCCAGGATCTGGTATTCCAACCATCTCACAGAGGAGACCCAGAGAGGGAAGGGGCCTTGCCAAAGGTCTCACACCAACCTGGCAGTCATCTTAACTCCTCTCCTTCCATATCTAAAGCCTGTCGAGGCTTGAAACATCTTGAAAGCTCTCATAGAATAGACAAATTGCTCATGTGGAAGAATTCCAACTAATTTATATCCATACTTCCTTCTTAAGGAAATGGAGCATAACTCCTCATTCCCTAAGCATGGGCTGCGCTTAGTTGGCTTCCTTCCAAAGAGTACAGCATGGAAAAAGGGAAAGAGGAGTAGCTTTACAGTGGAGAAACCTGATGGACACTGCCTCCTCCAGGTGATCAAAGTTAACATTCACAGTGATAAATCATATTGATAGTACATGCCCTTGATATGATCTTGTGAAAATGGCATTTGACTTCTGTGGTCTTCCTTCCCCAAACCATATTCCCAGTTAGTCATGAAAGAAAACATCAGACTAATCATGATTAAGGGACATTCTATAAAATACCTGACCAGTACTCCTCAAATGACTCCAGGTCATCAAAAAAAGAGGAAAGCCTGAGAAAGTGTCATAGCCAAGAAGAGCTTAAGGAGACAAGATGACTAAATGTAGTATGCTATTCTGGATGGAATCTTGGAGCAGAAAAAGGACATTAAGTTAAAACTAAGGAAATCGGAATAAAGTATGGACCTTAGTTAATAATAATGTACTGATATTGTTTCATTAACTGTGACGAATGTATCACACTAATGTAAACTGTTAATAAGGAGAACTTGCTGTGGGATATACGGAATTTCTCTGTTATCTTCACAATAATTCTGTAAATTTAAAACTGTTCTGAAATTAAGTTTATTTTTAAAACCTCCCATATCTGCCCCCATCTTGCCAATCTCACCTGAGGTCTAGCGTCTATTTCCTTACTGCTTTGCTTCCTTCCAGTCCGTTCTCCTGGCAGCCAGCAGAGGGCATTCTCTAAAACGCAAATCTAACCATATCTGAAGCCTTCCAGCAAAATAAAGGCGTTGGATGGAAAGTTCGGGAGGCATAGTATAAAAGACCGACTCGGATGTCTCAGTAAAAGTTATTGTGATCCAGAACAAATCTGGGAAATATTTCTGGCGCCCACTGAGATAAAATTTATGTACCTAAACAATATAACTCAGCCTTTCCAAGGTCTCCCGGATAAAGCTTTTCAGATGTCCAACTCCCTGCGTTTCCATCCTTTCGCACAGTTACGTAGTTAATTTCCCTTTGTTCTTCCTTTATCTCTATGGACACTCCTCTGCCTGAGGTATCTTTTCCCGTCTTCTCCCCCAAGCCCAGCTTCAGGGACTCTGTACCCGCTCCCAAAGACGAGAGCGCTCCTGCATAATTGGGTTGTGATATCCGGACCGAAGTCTTTTTTTATTTTTATTAAACACGAATGAGGAAAATGGATTCCTTTGGCTCCGCACGGCCGTATCACTCTAGGCCCGAGGAAAGGTTTGACGCACTATAAATTAAAAGATGAATCACTGATAAATGATGTTCTACGGTGCAGGGTGTCTCTATGCGCATGCGCCTAAGAGGAAGGCGTGGGAAGCCCTTTGCTACCTGGCTGGGTCCGCTGCGGGCGCCAGGAGAGGGAGGGGCTTCCTCAGCCTCGCCCTGCCATTGGCCAGGATGGTCCGCATTGGTCTGACGCAACGTCTCTGCGGCCTGGCGGAGCCCGACCCCCACCCGCCGAACCCCCCGCAACTACCATGTTGCAGGCTACTGCGTAGGCCAGGTGGCTCCGTGTGGGCCTGGGGGAAACTGACCGGTGGGGCCAGCGCCCCTGGCGAAACAAAAGACTCGAAGCGACACTTTGAATTTGCTCAGAATTTTATTAGGGTTAACAGGGTCCAGGGAGAGAAGCGGGCCTTCTGGGGGAGGGGGACAAGAATACCGCAAAGATTACCGCAAAGAATACCGCAATGGCGAAGCGGCCTTGCATAGACACCGAGGCGGGCTAGCGGCGCGGCGGGAA